TAGCTAGAATGATATGCTCACAAAATTTTTGCCCATAGAACATGAGTATATAACAATGCATGGTCTGTTAGTTTTGCCTGATGAATTTGTTTGTGAGGACAGAACATGATTACATAATATGCATGACATGGTAGTTTCCTGTGAAGAATCGATTGTGAGATAACATGAGTATAACCATGCATGACACTTCTATATTTTTGAACCCAGTATACATTTCCCTATATTTTCCTCCTAGTTTCTACAGGGACATATCAATGCTATTTCTTGCATTATCCGATCCATACTCTGAACAATGCTAATCTTACATTAACAATGCATGTCCTTTTTGATATGATGCAGTGTCCCTACAGTTACTGCCCTTTGTAATCGCACCACCTTTGCCAAAAACAAGGAAGCACAACCGGTTCCTTGCTCGATCAGAGGACGGAAAAAGACGGATGATCATTCGGACACATGAGCCGGAAAAGTTATATTGCAAAAACCCCACTGTATGCAAGCACCGTGAAATACGTGAGTATCCGGACAGTGGCTGTTACGTCAATGAGCAGGATACCATCTTGTTGGGGCCTGCGGGATTTTTGAGTTGGAGGCGGGTAAACAGCCCTGGTTCATACTCTCTGTTTCTCAGACTCAATTATACAATTAACCAGGAGATCACCGCTGGCAAGGACCTTGATGGCAGAGAGGCTCTATTTGCTATGGAAAATTGTGTCTACACGGCGAGCCCTAGGAGTTTGGGAGCAAACTCCCCTGATTGTCAATGATACAGCCTGCAGCCAAAAGAAGGTGAGAATGACAAAGGCATCTGGATTAACTTTGATCCTTGGATGTGTCGAGTCCAATAGGCAGTGATGTGGTTCAAGCCTTCAGGTTGATAGGTAATTGGGCTGTTGCATCGAAAGGGTGGAGTACTGGTGTCTCCGGATCACTGGTGGTTGAACCGGGGCTGCAAATTATTATGGTGTTGGGCCATCCCTCTTCGAATGACTTGGTGTCTTTGCTGCTTGTTCTAGATGGGTAGTTCTCTCTTTTGTTATGCATATTCCTTGTCATTTGGTCATCCTCATCTATGTCAAGCTTACTATGTAATAGTTGCCTCTATTTAGAATGTCATTCTCGTCTGGATCACGAGAGTCTGAGCGCTGTAGATGGGTGCGTTTTGGTGGTGTAGCAAGACTTCTTATGAACTATCATGTCTTGTTGTTTATGTCAATAGTAGTCACTAGTCAGTGTTTGAATGTTGCATTATTCGTTGTTTCAAAATGTTTATTGTCTCGAACTGCTGGTGGGCTAAATGAGGGCATCACCATTCTCCAGTGTTTAGAGTATATCTCCTTTTTTCAAGTTATAATTTGAGCTCAGTGTCTTTTCGATGATGTACACTTGTTTGGGCCAGTGAGGTGTCGTTGAATATGGGCCGAGTAGTAACGCAATGCCAAATAGGTCAATTATGACTCTAAGGCCGGGCTTTCAAAAGATCCTCAAAAAGATGACGCGCTCTCAAAAAAAGAAAGAATAAGAACTCTTAGGCCGACATGTGGGCGCCACCGGTGGTTTCGTGCGCTTGCACGCCGAGAGCATACTGGCGCGTGTTTGAAATTTATGCTACCTTTTCATCCCCGATCAACCGCCCCTCCCCCACCTCTGGAATCTCGATTCCTACTCCAGTTCCCCCAAATCCCCGTCTTGTACTCCCTGTACTCCAGCACACTATCATGTCGCCGGTCAACGCGGATCTCCGAGCCGGAGATCCTGAGGTCCGTCCTGCCTTCGGGCGCTACATGATGTCGCTCAACAATGGCATGGCGGCGCTTGATGACCAGTTTGCCGGCAAAGTGCTGATGGTAACCATCAATAGCGACCGGCCTCCCGTCTCTTTGGACGACCTTGTCAAAGCTCTTGCCATTGCGCATGGCATCCAAATAAGTGACTTGCTCGTCGAAGTCTGTCCGCCACCGGCTGATTTCTTCGTCAGGTTCCGGACAACTTTCGACTGCAATCGTGTGTTTGAATCTCCCCGGCGTTTGTTCTGCGATGGCGCGTTGGTGAGCTTTGATCGGTGGCACCTAGGATGGGGCTCGCTGCCCTTTGAGTTTTTAACAAAGCTTACCTTCCACGGCATGCATTGACGTGCTTGGAACAACAAGTCCATGAATGAGCTTATCAATGACCTTGGAGGTGAGCTCGTAAATACGTTTGTTCCTCCAGACAGCTGGGCTCTAACGGTTATGGCATGGATGAAGAAGCCGTCCACCATACCAAAGGTGATTGGTGTTGAGATACCGGTGCAGGAACCGGGGTTGTACTATTCGTCGCCACCAAGGCCACCATGGACCACGTTAGGGATGTACCTGTATCGAGTGTTCATGCATGTGAAGAAGTGGTCAATCCATCAATCAAAGTCCTGCTGCCGCCGCTGGTGCTCGAGTCCGTTGACGATGTCCATTACAGGAGTCAATGTCAGACTTTCCCCGTGTTGCTCGAAATGATGGATGGCACAAGGCCTACTCCATCGCGCGACGGAGGCCGCTGCTGTAACACCCTCGATGCAGCTATATCTCCTACGTGTCGAAGCACGACTTAGAGGCATAACCGCATTGAAAGCAATGTCACAAGTGAGGTAATCTTCACACAACCCATGTAATACATAAGGAAAAAAGATACATAGTTGGCTTACAATCGCCACTTTACACAATTACATGAATAAAGCATTACATCAACCAAGTACAATCAGGGCCCGACTACGGAGCCAAAATAAAAGAAGAACCCCAAATGCGACAAAGTCCCCGATCGACCCCAACTGGGCTCCACTACTGATCAACTAGAACAAAACAACACAAAGGACAAGATCTTCATCGAGCTCCTCCTGAGCTTGGTTGCGTCATCTGCACGGACTCATCGGCAGCTGCAAGCTGGTTTTGGAAGTATCTGTGAGCCACGGGGACTCAGCAATCTCGCACCCCCGCGATCAAGACTATTTAAACTTATGGGTAAGGTAAAAGGTATGAGGTGGAGCTGCAGCAAGCGACTAGCATATATGGTGGATAACATACGCAAATGAGAGCGAGAAGAGAAGGCAAAGCACGTTCGAGAAAGTAATGATCAAGAAGTGATCCTAAACAACCTACGTCAAGCATAACTCCAACACCGTGTTCACTTCCCGGACTCCGCCGGAAAGAGACCATCACGGTAACACACGCTGTTGATTCATTTTAATTAAGGTCAAGTTTAGGTTTTTCTACAACCAGACGTTAACAAATTCCCATATGCCCATAACCGCGGGCACGGCTTTCGAAAGTTCAAATCCCTGCAGGGGAGTCCCAACTTAGCCCATCACAAGCTCTCACGGTCAACGAAGGAATAGACCTCCTCCCGAGACATTCCGATCAGGCTCGGTATCCCGGTTCTACAAGACATTTCGACAGGGTAAAACTAAACCAGCAACACCGCCCGAATGTGCCGACAAATCCCGATAGGAGCTGCACATATCTCTTTCTCAGGGCACACCGGATCGTCCAAACTTCCGGTAGGCCAGCCCAGAGTTACCCCTGGTGGCCACCGGCGACTGACAAGTTGGACCAACACTCAGAGGAGCACTGGCCCGGGGGGGTAAAATAATGAAGACCCTCAGGAGCGCGACTCCCAAAGGAAAAGAAAAAGGCTAGGTGGCAAATGGTAAAACCAATGTTGGGCATTGCTGGAGGAGTTTTACTCAAGGCGAACTGTCAAGGGGTTCCCATAATAGCCCAACCGCGTAAGGAACGTAAAATCCGGGAACATAACACCGATATGACGGAAACTAGGGCGGCAAGAGTGAAACAAAACACCAGGCATAAGGCCGAGCCTTCCACCCTTTACCAAGTATATAGATGCATTAAGTTAATAAGATATATAGTGATATCCCAACAAGTAAGCATGTTCCATAAAGGAATGACATCTCCATGTTCCAACAAGGAACAAACTTCAATCTTCACCTGCAACTAAGAACGCTATAAGAGGGGCTAAGCAAAGCGGTAACATAGCCAAATAATGGTTTGCTAGGACAAGGTGGGTTAGAGGCTTGGTTCAACAATATGGGTGGCATGATAAGCAAGTGGTAGGTATCGCAGCATAGGCATAACAAAAGAGCGAGCAACTAAGCAAGCAAAGATAGAAGTGATTTCGAGGGTATGATCATCTTGCCTGAAATCCCGCAAGGAAGAAGAACGAATCCATGAAGATGACAAACGGACGTAGACGAACGGTTCCTCACAAGCACGACGTTACCGGAACCAACGCGAAGAAGCAAACACCGGAAAGAAGCACACAACATAGTAAACAACCACCACATAGACATGGCATGATGCGCAAACAAGTATGATGCATGTCCGGTTTAAAGAGGGCATGGCATGGCAAAGTGCAACAACCAAAACTACAAATTAAGTGGAGCTCAATATGCAACGAGTTGCATATTGACGGAGCACCACATCAATTATTTAGTTCGATCTCGTTTATGTACCCAACAATATTAAATGTTGTTAAACATGGCAAGGGGTGAGGCATAACAAAACTACACCATCTAAACAATTTAAATGGGGCCGAATATAACAAATAACGAATCAGGTAAATCCCCATATGCCTTAGTAATTTATTGCAACAACAATTTAAACATTTTAATTGTTGTTATCATGATGCAGATGACATGAACAAGTTTAAGAAATTTTTATTAAGACTTGATAAGAGCATTATGAAGCATTTGTCACCATGGTGGAAAGGAAAGGGGTGCCACGGAACGATAACGAAAACGGTGCCACGGTAGCGTTCCGGTTCCGGTAACTCGATTGAGATACCGATGCAAAGGAGAAATGTGCGGATGCGTGTAAAAGATGGTGGGGCGCTCTCGGATTCCGGATGTCCCACGGGTTAGTGGCATGGAAAACGAGTGACAATACGGACACGGTGCAGACAAAGGGTGCACCTCATCCAACACATGCAAACGTTCTCGGACGGTCGTCTCGGGGTTATACCTTCGAAGCGTGCAAAAGATGGTTCTCGTTCGGTGCAAAGTAGAGGAAGTAGATGTCCTCGGGACGTTCATGGTCGAGGTAGTCGTACAGGGCGACGGTAGTTGTACACGGGTCTTTGGCCACGGAAGTACTCGTACAACGTTTTCGTAGAGGTTCGGGGTCACGAAACGGAACTTGACGTCCACAGGGTCTTCGAGGGTCGACGGCAGTTGTACTCGATGAATCCCGCAATGGTCTTAGGCGTCTTCGCGTGTAGAGTACTTGGCGTTTCCGTTCATAGAGGTACTTGGGGGTTTCATTCAGTCGGTCTTGCCGGTCTCGGTAACGTAGATGTACAATAGCGTCATCAAACTTGTCGAACCCAAACTCTTGGAGGACCGTCGTGCTACTTGGTGTCTCGTGTAACCGGCGTCCGTTCGACCTTGAGAGAGAAGAAACAACACGTCCACAGTGCCCGATGGGGAGGGTCCTGCAACAACAGGACGTCGAAGGCGGAACAGCAGCAAGACGAAGTGGAGCCGGCATCGGTCTTGGCGTGGAGCAAGGGAAGCAGAGCTTCTGGAGGCTGGAGAGGGCCTGGACTTCGGGCGCGCGATGCCACAGGGAGGAGGCAAGACCTCGGTGGCACATGGAGAGGGTCGTGGTTGAGGAGGTCGTGGCTGAGCGAGCGAGAAGCGCTGGACGCGGGGCCACACGCTTCTAGCGGGGCATGCCGGAGGCAGGAGGCGAGGCAAGGCGTCAGAGGGGCTGAGCAGCAGCAGGGGTAGAGGCAGAGGCGAGCTCGCGAGAGGACGAGGAAGGAGGCTGCGGCCTCGTGAGTTCCGGCGGCGGGGCACGGCTCACCGGCGAGCAGCAGAGTCACCAGGCGCTGCGCGCAGGTCCATGGCGAGGACGCGAGGGGAAGGGGCGGCGCAAGGCGGCGCTGGAGGGAACAGCAAAGAGGCGCCACGGCTCCTGGACAGCGGCAACGCCTCTTTTGGCTCCTGGAGCTAGTGCCTGACCACGGAGGGAGGTAGGTGGCGCGAGGTGGAGGAGAGGTGCCGCTGGTCGAGAGTGTGCGGCAGCGTTGGAGGGAGATCGAAGAAAGGAAAGGGGATCGATGGAGAAGGAGACTGCGGCGCTTGAGGGAAGAGGGAGGGAGAGATCGACAGGAGGATCCGGCTAGGGTTAGAAAAGGAGTGGGGGTGCGGCTGGGCTGCTGATTGGGCCTGGCCTTGGGCCGGCGCTTGAGGGAGGGAGCTGCTGGAGACCCAAGTGGCCGGCTAGGCTGGGCCTCTCTCTTCCCTCTCCAACTCTCTTTTTTTTAACTAAAAAAAAGAAAGGAACCTGCAAGAAAAGCCGAGAGGGATTGCAGTGGAGTTTGAACATGAAGTAAATTTTCTTAGCGTCACAAAAATGAGCCTGATCCACGAAAAATGGAAATGATCACGTGAGTGAAGTTTGAAATGAAATCATTTGAATATAATTCAAATGGTTTTGCATAGGAAATAGGTGATAGGGAGGTCCAAAAATGTTGAGGTTTTTGTTGGAGCTCCGGAAAATGATGAAAGAATATAAGGCAAGGTTAGCGAGTCAACACTTGAAGAAGAAAAAAAGCCAAGGGATTTAATATGCAAGTGTGTTAAGGTGAAATCCAAATAAATGGAATATTTTATTATAGCTCCCTAATATTGGGAGGATATGTTATAAAGAGAATCACCACGTGAATTCCCTCGGTTTAAATGGATCTAAGATCCATACGGTTTATTTAATTGAGATGCAAAAGACATATGGCAAGCTGACATGATGCAATGCATATGATGCAAAGAAGAAAGCAAAGAAACAATCAACTCACACGACGAAAAATCCGGAAACCACGGAAGGCATCTGAAGCTCCGGTCTCGGGGCGTTACAACACTCCACCACTACGAGAGGATCTCGTCCCGAGATCTAGAATGGCACCAGAGGGAAAACAGAAGAGAAAGAGAAGAGGTAAAACTAAGTTGCTTCTTTGACAAACGAGCGAAACCAAAGAACCTTGAAAAGGTTGAGCACATTGAAAGAAAGAAAGCAACGGAGAAGAACAAAGTTGAAAGCACTCCGTTAAGAAAGAGGAATAAGAAATAACCGATTCGGGTAGCACTTCGGTTGAAAAGAGATGAAGACTTGATAAAATGAAAGAGCTTGAGCAAAAGGGGCACAACACTCCGGTTAAATGGATAAACCAAGAAAATAACATGATCCTGACAAAACGAAAAGAAGAAACATCACAATGTCTCAGGAAGAAAAGAATAGAAGTTAGATCATTGAAATAGGAGAATGGAGAAGAAAATGCTAAAATTTGCCACAAAAGAGCTCGACAAGGCATCTTTAGGAGAAGGGTCGAACGGAGTTGTTGGGAATCCAACAACGAAAAGAATACACTTGATATGGTCTTATGGAATACATCTCAAATTATGAGGTGACAGCCTGCCACTCACGGAAAAAGAATTGGATTGGAATGAACAAGGAGACAAGAAAGTATTTCACCAGGAGGATAGATGAAGAACTTGGATCATATATTATCACCATTAATAGCAACAAACCTTAGGGAAAGTTTTAGGTGAAAATAAACCCAAGATAACTCCAAAGAAGAGATTGATGGATTTAAAATACCTCATTCTTAACAACGTGTGAATCATGAGACATGAACTCAAATTATCAAGAATGACATAATACCACCTCGAATGATACGGTTGAAAGAATTGCACTTTAAAATGCAAGATAAAGAATACTTGAGCTCCTCTGAAAAGAATCTCGATGAACACTTCGAGAAGAAATTAAATCCTTGATGAACCATCATGAAGAACCTCCATGAAGAACTCCGGTAACGAAAGGATAACGAGAAGAAGAGAAGTTGAAAACACAAGGTGAATCCTTGCAATGATTAGATGGATCTTCGCGATGAAATAAATTGAGAGAGCTTGGAAGTCCGGAAAAGAGAAGATGAAACAATTGAAACCAAGAATTTTGATGAGGCTCCGGAATAAGGAATTAATCACTTGGATGGAACAAGAATAAGAACTATGTTATGCGTATCCTTCAACAATTTAATTGCTGACAAGCAATGGATTTGGCATACTACTTATCCTCGAAGAAAGATTAAGATAGATATAGCACAAACTTGAGAAAGTCTTCAACGATCCATCGGTAGAATTTGAAAAGCACGAATGCATAGATATGATACACAAAGGAAGAAAACTCTTGAACGAACCACCGTAAGAATTGAAAAAAATGAATAAAACATAACGAAACACCGGGAAGAATTAACAAATGAACGAAGATGCTTGAAAGTATTTAGATCCATGAGAATGAAGAGATCACGAGCCGATTAAAGATCACTTGCATGAAGCACCGGTAAAATTTGGAGAATGATAGCTGAAAGCTGAGAATGAATAAACCTGCATTGATGGACTCCGGATGAACAGACCGAAAAGGCTCCTGAATTGCTCCGGATGGATAAAAAGAATTCTCACAATCGAACAATTATGAGAGGATGGCAACAAGCTAGAATCACGAATCTTGAGGAGAGTGGAGCAAAATATGGAGGTAAAACTCTTCTTCGGTCTTCAAATCTCCGAGAATGACGATGAGAAACACCACCATGAATTATTTAGAAACTACGGAAGAATCAAAACGAAGAGGTTGAGCCAACGATGAAAAGAATTGTGAAAGATCTAGGAGATGGCATTTGACTGATGATAACTTATTCTTACGTCAAACTTTAAAAGGAATTTAGGATAGGTCCGGGAAAATAAGAAGAGTCAGGTAAGATCCTGGGAAAAGACCTGTGGGTTAGGACCCACTCAAAATAAACACCGTTGGAATGATTACTTGAAAGATATTGCACCGGTTGAATTAAATGACTTGAAAGAGATAACAACCTCGAAATAGATTGAACTGATCTTGAATGAAAAAAACGAGCCTTCTGAGATATCTTGAGCACTCCGGGACAATAGAATAGCGAGAGGTGAACGATTAAGAATTGCACCGGCATGAGAAAGTATTTGAAACGAGGAAAAAGGATATGGTCAACACCGCAAACTTGGATTAAATCTACCGGAGAAGGGAAAAGAACGAAGGATGACGAACTTGATGCTCCGTTAGTATCTTCATGAGAATCACCGGATAAGAACATTTAAGGAAAAGAATGGAGAGACTTCACATGGATACTCGATTAAGAAATCTGAGTCCTTGAAGAAAACAAGGGAGGGAGGGCGGGAAAACAAAGACAACTTGGGATGGATGAACGAACACCATTGAGAAAGCTGAGATTGGATCTTGCGGATGTTGAAATGTTCGGATCCACTTGAAGAGAAACACACCGGTGAAAAGGATTGACATGACAATCTCGATTATCATGAAGGATTGGTATTCACATCGGAGTATGAAAACACCATTTGGGGAAGGTATGGAATCAACATTTGACTTCGAAGCAACTCGAATACCACAACTCAAAAACAAAACAAAGGATTGACTTGCAAAATAAGCCGGAACAAACATATGATAGAGATTTCATCCGAAGTTTTCGTGGTGGGGCCTACACGGGCTCGATCGTACAGCACCATCATGTACACGGCAGTGCACACGACATATGAAGCGTCCCCGAGTCGGCATAGCCAAGGACTCTTTAAGACATAACGAGACCACTGTAAAACCGACCGTGAATAGGCGGACCACTAGACGTCGAACCCCAATCTCATATCATACATCTGTCGGAAAGATATCCTAAGAACTACTTGAGTTCCCACTTATAAACTCCCGACATTTTCCGGTTATGAAATCAGGTGTTGGGGATACAGGGGAAGCATAATATCTCACCCAAAACTAGCAATTCCTACATCTAGTTGTATCCATCCTTCAACACATAACCAAGAAACCTTCGGAAATCATCTACCTCAACCTTCGAAAAGCATCCGTTACACAAGTTATGGCAATACTCCCGAACTCCCGCCCCAGTACTGGGTGGCGTCAAGGTTATCTCACCAACGAACTGCATAAAAGAGATTTTCGATGTCGGCGTACTAAACTCAGGTATTCCAGAACTACAACGATAAAATTATGACGACAACACCTCAGAGCTCAACTCCCCGGGACACTTCCACAAAACCCCTGACAGGAGGCACCAAGACAATGTTCTCGTCACAAAACCATCGGAATGATTCCAAGATACCCGCGTGATCCTAAAAAAAATTTAGTGAAATTTGAGAAGAGAAGAGTCAAAACTCTACGTCAGGATGCCTTACCAGAGCGATGAGGAGACTGGGAAGTAAAAAGAATTCCTAAACTCTCTGATATATAATTCCTAAATGACTCAAAACATCTTTCTAGACACAACTCGGCCGCTAAAAACGATCAAGCAATGGGGCTCCTAAGGTCAAGGAAGGCTCTGATGCCAACTTGTAACACCCTCGATGCGGCTATATCTCCTACGTGTCGAAGCACGACTTAGAGGCATAACCGCATTGAAAACGATGTCGCAAGCGAGGTAATCTTCACACAACCCATGTAATACATAAGGGAAAAAGATACATAGTTGGCTTACAATCGCCACTTCACACAATTACATGAATAAAGCATTACATCAACCAAGTACAATCAGGGCCCGACTA